TTTTTTTTTCCCTTTTGAAATTTACATTTGTGAATTCATCATAAATACAAAAACTAGATGATCAAGAATCAAAGTCAGGCCCCTGAAAAGAGCATACCTATAACCAAATCCAGCTTCTCTGAGCTGTTGCTCGGTGACAGCAGAAAGCCTCTCAAGTGTGGGAAACTCATGGAAATGAAACCCACCAACCGTCCCTAAATGCTCGCCAAACGAAGACAGAACCCCGACCATCTTCTCAATCCTCGCAATGTTATTGTTCGAAGAGCAGAGGAACTGAAAAACGCACTCCACCGGATCCTGTCGCAGAACACGGGCCCCGCCATCGAATCGCCGAGCTATCTCATCAAACCGCGGATCCGCCGCAGAAAAACCTCGCCACAGAGCGGTGAGGGAGATCTCGACGTTAAGATAGTCACTCAGCGCAGCCCGCGTGGAAGCAGCGTCTGACGAATTGTGGAGAAAGAAGTGGATGCGACCAGAAGGATCATCATCTCCATCGGCGTGCTTGAGAGACAGGAGGTAGGGACCAACGACACCGGTGAACTGGGAGGGTCCGGTTCGACGCCAACGAAATGTCTGACCGGTGGGGAGAGTGTGGAGAAGTGATAGCTCCGATCTCGAGAGGCCAAGGGTGTGCCAGTCCCCATCGTCAAGGGCTGCCAAGTCTAGAAGAGAAGGGGTAAGAGATCTTTGAGTTCGAGAGCGGAAGGAGGTTGAGGAGCTGGATTCTTCCTTTGGAGGTGTTGTAGGATGCAAAGGTGAAAGAGGAGTAATGGAGAAGTTCACCGGAGTAGGCGGCGGCGTCGTCTTCAGCCGCCGCCGCTGACTCATGACTGCGCAGAAAGGGCTAGTACGTTTGGGTAGGGTTGAGGTAGACATGGGAGGTGCGGGTGTTTTTCATTAGTGCGACGTCATTAATTAACTGCAGATGAAACATGGGCGATCATTTTACGGGCCCGCTGAACTCTTATTTATGAGCGCTTATTTATGTAGCGCATATTTTA